CTCCGAGAGTATATTCCTCCCGAGATAACATTGATCGGAGGGAATTTCCCCTCCGGCTTTTTACTGTTCTTCCGGGGGAAGTCGAGGTCTTGCCGAGAGTCCTTTGCTGACTTCTCGGATTCTTTTTTCTCGCGGTGATCCGCGATGTATTTTTTCAAGTATCCCTTCCGGACCATGTCCTCTCTCTGGTCCTTCAGTTGGATACACTCCTCAGTGTTGTGTCTCGAAGACTCGTGGAACTCGCACCACTGATTTTTATTTTTTCGCTGATACCACTCTGGGAGTGGTCTCGGCTTTCGGTAACTCTGCTCCTCCTTCGTCACGCTGTAAATTTTGGCGCGTGGAAGAGAGAGCGGAGTGTAGGACTCGTATCTGCCTGTGTATGAGGCATATCTTTCCTTCTTTGGGTCGCTGGCCAAAGATTGCTCCGGGGCCTTTGACTTTCCCTTTGCCTTATGGCCTTGGCCTTCAGACAAGGGTATTTGTCTTTGTTTCCCTCCCCCAAATTGAGGTTGGGTTTTCACTTTGTTCCATTCTTCGGCTCGTATGAACTTGTCCGAGGCATTCAGAGCTTCCTCCAAGGTCTGCGGGGTATGCATGACCATGAAGTCTAGGAACTTTCCGGGCTGAAGGCCATTCTGCATTGCAAAAACGGCTAGCCCCTGGTCCAGCTGAGAGACGCTGGATGACTCGTTACTGAAACGGGTCAGATAGTCTCGGAGGCTTTCGGTTTCCCCCTGTTATAGACTCATGAGCTCTGCAGTAGTCTTCTCTCGGCGGTTTGCCGTGGAAAACTTGCTCCTGAACTTGGAGGACAGATCATCCCACCCTGTTATGGAGCCTTGCCTTACTCCCTTGGAGATCCACGCTTGCGCGGCCCCCTTGAGAGTGGTTGGGAAATATTTGCACCAAGTCGCCTCGGATCTGGGGCAAAGATGCATATGAGTCTCATACGAGGCCACGTGATCCTTCGGATCCGAGGTCCCGTCATATGTGATGTGCGACGGTATTTTAACCGTGGGTACGCGCTCTTCCAGTATCCATTGCTCGAATGGTGAACTGGCGGGTAGCATAACGGCCTTGCCCTTGTTCTTGGCCGAAGGGACCGCGCTCCGCCCTCTTAGAGAGGTAGGAGTGGTTTTCGTCCCTGGCTGGGAAGTCTGGGCCTCGGCTGCAGGGAACGAGAGGCGACTGCGCACGCTCGGTTCCTTGCCGCCGAGTCGGTCAAGGACGCTTCGGCGAACAGTCTCAGGTTCTCGGTGAGTAGATTCTGGCCGAGAAGCTGAGCTGCTGCTCTTATGCGCTTCTGGTCTTAAGGATGAGGATCCTTTTAATAATTGAGGGTTCTTTTTCCTCTGTTTTTCATTTTTCCAGGAATCCTCTTCCCACTCTTCCAGTTCCCGGAAGGAAGGAAGCTTCCCACCATCATGGTCTAACTTCCTCCGCTGATGCCGGGTATGCGGAGGAGCTCGATCACGAGGTGGTGGCATATTTTGTGCCCTCATCGCCTCCATGAGCACTTCCAGCGCTCTTGCCACCTCTTCCGAGCTGGGCCCCGTCAAAGGGGTCCTCGGCCGAGTATGGGAATGAGGGCGCGCAGCCGATGGTTGGCTTTGGGGCACTGAATGTGTCCTATGATCGGACTCACCCCTGCTAGACCGAGAGTGACTCGGCCTATAATGAGAGTCATGAATTACGGGAGAAAGGGAATCCTCCTTGTATGATCCTCCCCCCGAGCTGGCACCCTTGGGAGAGTTCCGGTCCGGCGAGGGTGATGGTGTAGGGGTTTTAGGCTTTTCGCCCGCTCCTTGACGAAGGCTTTTGCTCTTGCGGTTCTTAGCCATTGCTACTAAGATAATTGCAAGATGATCTTGGTTAGAAATTTGGCTTAAAGATTTTTGAAAGTCATCCCCACAGACGGCGCCAAATTGTTTCGGGTGAAAACAATGGGACCTTGCCGAAGGTCCGCTGAAACGGAGAAGACTGGATTCGGTCCAAGTTATGCTGGGCCGAAGGTTTCCTGCACAGTAAACACACGTAAACTAGCCTCGGGGGTGTTGCCGAGGAAGGCCCCTCCGATGCTAAAGTCAGTACAATGTGTAGAAAGAGAACACTATGCAAGAGAATTAGTTGCTTGAGGCTTTGCTTGAATATATGAGAATATATGAATCTATGAATAATATGAATGTATGAATATTGATGGTTTTTATACCTCTTCATACATGGAGAGGTTGGGCCTTAGCCCAATTGGCTTGCTTTGAGGGCTGACCTTTGACTTTAGCACAATTGGAGAGTTGAACCTTGACCTTGGGCTTTTAATTGGATCATTTAATGCCTAGGCCCAATTGGACTAAATTGGACCCAAACATATATATGTGTGTGTGTATAGTACTTATCTTACAAAAGCAAATACCTCATAGCAAAAAGTAACGTACTTTGTATTATGATTTTCTAAAAATATGAGTTTGGTTATTTTACAAGTAATCTTTAATTAAGTATGTAAAGTTTTAAACTCTTTTTCTACTAATAGGAATATTAGTAGTATCTATTTTCTAAAGTTTTAGACTCTTTTTCTACTAATATGTATGTACTTCATATTGTTGATTTTCTAAAAGATGAGTTTGGTTGTTTTAGTACAATAATTCAAGAAATCTTTTATCTAAGATATCTATAGTAATGTTTTCTACTAATATTAATAGTGGCAGTATCTATTTTCAAAGTAATGCTCATTTTCTTCTAAATGAGGTAATACTTGGTTTATTATTTAAAAATAAGTTTATATTTGTTTTTATCAAATGTTTTAAATTAATAAGTAACTAATGAGTATTTATTATTATTGGGTAATGATCGAATGAGTCATGGCAATGAGGAATTAATGATGGAGGTTGAGAGTTCGGATGATGACTATGGGAGAATAAGCTAAGTGACATGATTAAGGATGATCGAATGAGGTAAATTTTATGTCTAGCAAATGTGTTCAGTCCCGTATGAGTGACCATTATGTCTAGCAATTGTGTAGTCCCATATGTGTAACTATTATGTCTAGCAACTGTGTTTAGTCTCGTATGTGTGACAATTATGTCTGGTAATAATTATGAGTGGGCACGTGTGTACGTAATCTTAGTGGCCTGTTATTGTGTTACATGTATGCTCGTATAATATGTTTGGCATTTTATAATTTAAAAGCATGTTATGTGAAAAAGACATATTATATGAACCCTTTTAAATAAACGTAAACGTGACCTGGTATGAAATCATATTTATTGACTAATGCTATTGCTACTATATGCAGTCCCCTTCAAAATGTATTTATGAAAGTATGATTGTCACATTCAGTGCTATTTATATCTTTGGATGTATTTATTAATGACTTGCGAGATGATGAATATGTTTATTGATGTATTTCAATCATATGATTTTATATGAATGATTTTGTGAATATACGACGTTTATTGATCTATGGATCTCACTAAAGTATGTTAATAATCTATGAACAACTTATTAAAAATTACACAACATGATAAATAAAAGTGAAAGACCTAGTCTTTCTGGCAGTATATGTTTACAGGTAATGTTTCGGTCATGCAATGCACGCATGAACCCATGGGGCACTGGTCGAATTATGTCAAGCACCTGCTCTATGTTATGGGCACCGGCCCATCGCGGAAGACATTCCGCCATGTCATACTGTCCAGCGACTAGCATGTCCATCAAAAGGTTATGAATACATGAAATTATTAAAGGACTTATGAGAACTCACAAGGATATTGTATTGACAATTTACGATATACTGAAATGTATGATAGATTGTAAAATGTCTTATCATTTTACAAGATGTTATGAGTGACTGTTGTTCTTGCTATTCTGTCAACTTATAAGAAATGCAAACATGATCTATTATGATGAAGCAGTGGCTTCCCCCTGTAAGGAGCACTGGCTCCCCCTAATAGTAGGAAATGTCCTACCCCTGTTAAATGTTTAATGATTATGATTATTTTATTTAGGTGTTACAAATGAATGATTATGAAATGTGCCAATGTGTTATGAATTTATATGAGGTATAAAGTTGTTCTGAAATGATTTAATATGATACGATAGATGTTACTTTTGTCGGCATTGAAAAATAAACTGAATATAATAAATGGGTGAGTTACAGGTGGAGGAAAGTATGTTAATGAAATGGGAAATCAATCCCACACGAATGAAAGTTATGTTATGTCTAAAACCTGTACTTACCTATAATCTTATGTAAAGGGAATGATCTTTGCCGACACAACTTTTCATGATAATAATACTAGATTATTTCTGAACAACTATCTATGTATGAAGTATATGATATTTGCTCAAATGATTTTGAGAGAAAAACTGTTTTACGGGCTAGAGTGATATTACTGAGTTTTTCACTCATTTTTTGAATTTCCTGTGTTTTCTCTGTTTTCTATTTTTATGGATATATACATGTATGATGTATGATGATGATGGAGCTCGAGTTAGTCAAAGGCAAAGTGATTAATGGAATTTATATTATTGAGAAATTACGGAATCAGAACCAAGAGTTAATATATGATGGACAATGTTCTATCGAGAGAGAGATTATTTTTATTTCTGGAAGTTGTATTATTTTAAGGGAATGTTTTCATTAAGGAGTATGTTTATTTTGTGGGCCCATAACCCATAGAATGGTATGAGATTATCTATGATGATATATTAATTTCACTGCGAATGATGAGTTAAGTATGGTCCGGTAAAGTCAATTAAGGTTACGAGAAGTCGTGGCGTTACAAGAAGTGGCAAGCTTATGTGACGCACATGGCATTGTGTCATGACGCATATTATTTGAAGAGTGCCACGTGGCATTGTCCTTTAAAAAAAACGCCTTTTAATATATAGTATAGATAATTCTTGATAATATATTATAAGATACACTAGTCTTTGTCCTCTAACACGCGACGGAAGCAACGAAACAAGTGATACACAAGTAGAAGTGAGGTGAAAGACGATCATAACTTTCGAGGCATTGGGGGTGCACTAGGGCTGAAGTTGTAGACAACGGGGCACAGGCCGAGGCCAGAGCCGCCAGGCTTTACATAAACTCCTATCGATGTTATGCGTCCATTTGTAGAGTAAGTGCCATAAAATCCACCAAATCGGTTGCTCGGACCGAACTCAAAGTTAAACTTAGTGTTAAGTTCTTCTTTACTTCCAAAAGGTCCATACTTTTTTCGATTCGTTTTAATTGTCATTGATTTGATCTCCGAAGGAGAGTAGTTACCACTCAATCCCGTAATATATTCAAATTTATAGTCGAAAATTACCTGTCCATGCCAAATCACAGTCATTAGAAACTATGTACTTTACTATATATAATGTATGACGAACATGAAAATTATAATCATACAAAATTACTTCTTTTGTCCCTAAAAGTTTACATACCGTTGAAAATTTTGATCCGGTGTGACGCCCAAACTCAGGCACCAAATTTGTACAATTATCTTCATACTGAAATTGCAGGCAATTTACATGCGAATCTTCATATGAAATAAATATTCCAGTAATCTTGTAACGCCCTTTCTCATCCCAAGTTTTATTTGATCGTTTACCAATTGGTCCCAGTTTTACAAGTCCCTTCTTCGTACCTAATATTACAGCCAAGTGAGCCAATGTCAGATACTATTACTTGATTATTCATAGCAAATAATACCATTGAGTGTACATAGCACTCGAATGTACATAAAAAATTTCAATACATATGTTTTTTATTTTTTTAAGGTGATTTTCTAGTAACAAAGATTTTTAATTTTCTAATTTCAAGATTCTTCAACTTGAATAGTTATTATGACCCTTCATCTTATAATTTTACGACGGATGTATTCTCTATTTTCGAGATTCTTCAACGTGAATACTTGAGCCTTTATCTTCATTTTCTAAAAACAAAAGTATCGCATAAATTCAATTCTAATTTTAATTTGTATACTAAGTATATGGATTTACAATAATGAGGAATGATTTTTAAAAAGGAAAAAAATATACCTATTTTCCTAATAAATTAAGCCTGGGCATGCAATAAAATAAGATCAGACCATGAACAAATAGATTGATCGACTATAATGTACGTACTAACCTTTATTCATCTTCGAATTGAAGAAAAACAACAATTGGATTCAGAGATATGAGTAGAGTTTTCGTCAAAAAAAAATATCGATCTCAAAACCTAATTAGGACCAGTCTAATTATTAGCTTAACGCTTTATAATATACTAAAGTTTCTAAATGGTTCTTAATCATATCATTAACAATGGTTTATTTGAATTCATATTTATAAACCCAAACCTAGCTTATTAACTTTATTTCCATTAGAATTAGGAAACAATGTTATTATGCTTCGGACACAAGTTAAGAGTAACCGACTCCGCTAAAAATCTGAAGTATATATCTAGTAATTAAGTAATAAATTAATACTGTATGTCTTAAAATAAAGATTTTTTTTTTTTTTTATCTCTGCTAAATAACATAGTCATTAATTTTGGATCATAAATCTTTTTTTTTTTTTTTTTTTTTTTTTTTTGTTGCACATAAAACAATTTGCTCTTCCTAAGATTCACACCATGCATATTGGAGGCCAGGCCCCGTACTGATGAGGATGAGAGTCATGAGACCTTTAAAAATAAATATGGCAACTTAGTCCTTTAAAGTTTAAAGTAAAAACTTTACTCACGTAACGTTGTTATTTGACATCTTATGATCTTAACACCAAGGACAAATTTTAAACTACTCGTATATACCATCATTTATTCATCAAAACGTAAAAGGCTAATAGAAAAAATGGAATGCAACAGTACCTGATTAGAAATATTGAAAACAAAATTGAAATTCTGATCCATTAATAGCAATGGTTAATGTTCATTACGAGTAATATTTACGGAGTACTAATTGTACCAAAAGGTTACAAAAAGCGTCCTAGTGGAGGTGGGATATATAATTAAAGCGTAAATAATAAAGGAGTCAAAATTATTACATTTTAGATAAGAATATAACATAATAAACATAGATCACACAATTCAATTTGATCCTCAATAGTTAACCATGTGTACAATCATACATTTTGATTAATTAGGATGCACCACCAACTGTACAAAAATCGTCATTTGTATGACGTGATATTAATTTAATTTATAAGTCTTATCATAACCATATAATAATATCCCCACTAGCTTATTCTTATTCACATGTTAGTTCTCCGATCCCTTCTTCCACCTAAAATAAACTCAATTTCTCCAATTTTCTCACCTATTTTAAAGTCACCCATCTCTCCCCCTTACTTAGACATCGGAATACTGACTTAAACATCGGAGGAGGTTTCACCCTTGAAACGTCCAACACCAACGAACCTAAGATCATCCTTTAAGAGATCATCTTCAATTCAACACCGCAACAATTATTACAATCAAAATGGAAACAATAGTACTCTACCCTGCACCATTTGTAGGCCACTTAATCTCAATGATTGAACTAGGTAAACTCCTTTTAACACACTCTCCTTCTATTTCTTCTATCACCATTATCATCCCAGATTCTCCGATAGGCCGATCTTCCACATACTCCTCTTACGTCTCCTCTATCTCCTCCTCTTTCCCTTCCATCACCTTCGTCTTCCACCCTCCCGTTCCTCTCCTTCTCGGCGACCTTTCCAAATACAACGATGTCGAACAACTCACGTATGAAACTCTCCGTAGTAACAACACCAACGTTCTCAAATCTCTCCAATCTATTTCTCAATCCTCAACTATTTCCGTTTTTATCCTCGACTTCTTCTGCTACTCGGCGGTTGAAGTTTCTCAATCACTCAATATACCTACTTACTTTTTCTTTGCTTCTGGTGCTTCTGTTCTAGCTTTCTTCCTTAACCTTCCTGTATATGATAGAACTTATACTGGTTCTTATAGGAATCTTCGAGTTTCACTTGAGATTCCTGGGTTGTTTTCTTTTCCTACTAGTAGTATGATCGAATGCATGCTTGATCGTGGGGAAAGTTATAAGGAGTTTGTCAAGTTAGGTGAGACTTTTCTTAAATCAGATGGGATCATCGTTAATACTTTCGAGTCGTTAGAGGTCAGAGCTGTTAAGGGTTTAAAACAAGGGACTTGTCTTCCAGGAGCTAAAATTCCACATGTTTATTGTGTTGGGCCTTTGATAGCTAATTGAGGGGGTGGTCATGGTGGCGGTGAAGGAGGAGGAGAGAGTCGACACGAGTGTCTAAGTTGGCTCGACGCACAACCAACTCGAAGCGTGGTGTACTTGTGCTTTGGGAGTGGGGGTGTGTTTTCTAAGGAGCAAACAAGGGAAATAGCTCTTGGGTTGGAGAATAGTGGGGTGAGGTTTTTATGGGTGGTTCGTATGCCACCTAAAAGAGATAAGGCTAAGGTGCTTTCAAGGTCATTAGTTGACCCAGATTTGGACTCATTCCTTCCTGAGGGGTTTTTGGAAAGGACTAAAGATAGGGGCCATGTGGTTAAGAGGTGGGTCCCGCAAATTGAAGTGTTGGGACATGGGTCCGTAGGTGGGTTCGTGACTCATTGTGGATGGAACTCGACTTTAGAGGCAGTGTGTGCTGGAGTGCCTATGGTGGCTTGGCCTCTATATGCCGAGCAAAGATTTAATAAGATTTTGCTCGCGGAGGAGATTGGGATTGCGTTACCAATGGATGAGTCGGAGGATCGATTTGTGAGTTCGAGTGAGATTGAGAGGCGAGTGAAGCAAATTATTATTAGCTCGGAAGAAGGGGATGTGGTAAGGGAACGTGTGTTGGATTTGAAAAGCAAGGCTGAGGTTGTATTTAGTGAAGGAGGCTCATCTGAAGAAGCATTGAATTTGTTAGTTAAATCATGGAAATGATGGACATGGCTTGTAATTTTTTGAAGTTGTGACTTGTGAGTTGCCTTATTTCCTTCTAAATACGATGTGACATTGTGACCACAATTTTTAGCAGATATTATCCAGCCATTTTCCAATTAAATGGAATGAATTTGCATAATTACTTAAATTTATATGGAGTAGAGTATGAACTATGAAGCATGTGATTGCCTCTATATATATTGTTAATAACAACTGCATGATAGAAATATTTAAAAGTTTTCACATTAACGTACACTGTAATAATAATAGCAAGCAGATTTCAATGCATATAAAATCACCAGTGAAACTGAGACTGAGAGACTTTGTTAATCAAGATTTGCTTTCTTAACTAGAAATCTCTTGGATTAACACATTCCTTAAAGCACCAGAAAATGTCATTGTTCTCTCCTCATTATTACCACCAAGATTTTTAGTCAAGTTCTTGAATAACCAAACATCTTTGATGCGTAGCATGGAAGATTAAAGAGGTATATGGTTGGTTTTTAAGGGGATCGGTGTCACCTACCTCAGTCATTACTAGCTTACAGTCTATGTCTTCTCCCAACTTAGCTGCAAATAAAGTTTCATGCTGCCTTAATAAGCTCCCTTACCCTCTCAGCCTCTCTCCCTCTCCCAAAACTCAATACATGAAAAGAAACCCGAAAGGTTATTGGAATAAGCCGCAGACTAATGATAGTTTAATGCAAGGAAAAATAACCTCCCTAGCATGGCTTCAGGCTGCATATAGAAAGGACTTAATAGACCTTTGAGTTTGAACTTTGAAGCTTGTAAACCAGGAGCTTGGCTCTGTAGTGTCACCACCATTCCAAAAGCTGAAAATTATCCAGGAGCTTGGCTCTGTAGTGTCTGTATTGTGATCCTTGATATGCAGACCTTCCCAACCCTCATCATTGAAATACCATGCCCACGTTTTGAGGCTTGGATTACCTCGATCTATAGATTGTTTCAATGTCATTTGGATAAAAGTTTTTGCATTTGAGCTGATTTTATAGAAATAAACAGCTTGGCCGACCTGCAACTTCTCTATATTTATATTCCCACTAAGTTTATTTTTTAACAGGTTTTTCAATAGGAAGAACATATATATACAAATTAAAGAACTCCATACTTTATAGTGGCATTTTAGGGTAAACAGATTTCTAAAAGCAACATTGCTCTCCTCAGTAGCTAGGTATACATACTCAGATACTCTGGCACTCTGCACCATTTTTTGTGAGCCATTCTTCAATTGCATTCATCAGGATGAGTCCAATTCCCATATGCCTGTAAGTACAAATACGAACAGGAGAAAAGGGCTAACACGCCAAAAATTGTAGCAGCCTAATGTAGCATGAGCCAAGAGCAATGTGTCATGTTATGGAAGCATACTATCTGTTTCAAGACAAATTAATTCAATCACTATGGAAAAGATGATTCAAGAAGCCTAATCCCATTACCTAATATAGAATTGTAGTAATTAGTTGTTGAAGAGGATTAATAGAAGTATCTAGCTCATCCATAACAATTGTAGTTTTGTACTGTAAAGAACACTAAAATCTTGTGCAACAGGCATTACAGTGATGGAACAACAATTAGTAATAATTACAAAGAGTGGGATTAAGGAAGCACCAGTGTCTTGGAGAGACTCGAAGGCCTCATATGTATCCCATCTTCAAATTTGATCTCCTGAGACCAAACCTCACTTCTTTTATGCGCCCTCGGACTACTCCAACAAGCTCCCCAAGCTTTGTCATCTTGATCTTTGCAACCTGTGTCGAGTTAGGAAAAGAAAAATGCTCTTTCCCTGGTAGAAATTTAAAATTCCTGTTACGAAGCTAAGGAAGAAGACAAACTATAAGGCAAGAAGCAAATTAGTAGCACGCAACTAACTTTTTTATGGCTAATTAATAAACCTAGTGGGATTTGCATCAGGGAGCCCCCTTAACCCAACCTTCTAGAAAGGGTGACATACGGAACCCAACATAAATATTATGCAGCTAAAGTTGTAAACAGAGATAGTATTGAGCTTAACAAGTTAACAAACTTCTTTTAGTCTCACATACCAACATAATGTGAACAGAGTAGAATCTGATCCTACATAAAGGGTCATCCATCATATCACAGAATATGGAAGCATTCTTATTATAACCTACTGCACAATCCTTTTCAAGCTTTCCATAGTTTCAAAATCAGTTTCTGCATTGTATTCCCTGATGATCAGAGCATTGCTCATGGTGCTGAAGAAGCTGATTACAAGAATAATGGAAGACAGATATAAAGCCTATTCCTATTGAACCTTGGATAGACAAGGCACACTGATAAAGCAAATGTGCAGATCAATTTATACGGGGAACTTATATTGACATGTTATGTAGACGCATTTTATTTTCTCATGAAATAACACGAGTACATATCCTGCATACACTGATCTTTTTTGTACCAGACCAAAGTTGTGACAGTGAATGGCAAATACTTCATTTAGTTCTGAAGTTGAATTGTACCAAACTTATCTCTCTAATATGCCTAGGCAAGTAAGGCAACACAAAAAGATATACATATCCACCATGTTCGACCAACTAAAATCAAATGCAGCATGTATATCAAACCGTAAACGAAAACACTAGCCAAGGACAAACATACAGCTAGCAAAATTATCACCGAAAAAAAAAAAAGCAACAAACACATAACCCATTTCATTTCATTGTAAAAGGTTTGTGTGTCAACTCACTTGGACATATCTAAAAACATATAGTGGACAATTCTTACTAGCAAAAACCCTGAAATTCCTACACAAAATACTTTCCTCAATTGTACTAATATGAACATGCGGTTTTTCACTTGGACATTTTTACAAACACCTAGCAGGCAAATCTCAAAACAAACCCATAATATCAAAAACAAGCAGATAATCAGATAAAGAAATCTCACTGATATTGTTCCTCTTGTGGGTCTTAATCTTAGTCCTGGGCTTCTTCAAATGAACTGGGTTAAACTCTTTTCTCTTTCTCTTGTTATCAACTATCTCCATATTTCCACCTACATTGTCATCTTCGTTGTCGTCGTCATCGTCGGAATCATGCCATTGAAGGGCATCAAGATCAGCAGTAACTTGATCAATACTAAGACAAACATCATTGTTGGTAGAAATCTGGGTTTCATTCAAAGTTGAACGATGAGGATTAATGAACTCATCAATTGCATCCAATGCTTCCAAAATCATCTCCTACAAAAATTATACTCAATAATTTCAAACATAATAAATAATCCATTTAAAAAAACAAAAAGTGATTTGAGGGAGATGGGTATAGTGTATATATACCTTACGGCGATTTCGGCAAGTAAGTCTGTAGAATCCATGAATGTAAAGAATGTGATTGAGTTGGTCGAAGTTGAAAGATGAAGAAATTAAAGGATTGTTGAAGAATAAATGATAATGTTCAAAACTAAGGGTTTTAAGCTTTGCCATTTTTCTGTGTTTTCAGGCACTCTGCTCAATGTTGTTGCGGAGAATGAATGATGGTTGGCGCCAAATAGAATTTATTTCGTTTAAATACGGTGTATTGATTTGCACAAGTATTATATTTTGTGCTCCGTATCCGTATCCATATCCCTATTCATATCCGTATCATGGTATGTTATACAATTAATTATACTCCATATGCCATATAGTCGATATAGGGCTTTTATTCAAGTGACTTTATTAAGACACATTTTTATTTATTTATAAAATTATTAGAGTAGTTTATTTTAGCTGAGGAACTATATATATATTTATGATACATTTTGAACTAATCATTAGATATCCGAATACTCAAATATCAAAAACTGATATCCAAATTCGATCTGAAAATTTCGAATATCCATTATTCAATAGTAATTAAAATTGATTATGATTATTTTCTAAATTTCACTAACTTTATTTTTTTATTGCTAAGTTGTACACCATATGTTAAAAAAATTGTAGTCTTTTTGCAATTAAAATTATCATCAATATATTGAGAATATTATTATAAGTTAAAACATGATCGGTTTTATATGAACAATTTAAAAAAAATTATATATATTTCACTATTTCAGCCTTTATATTTCGGATATCAAATATTCAAAATTTGAAAATTAATATCCAAATCCCCATCTAATATTCAAAATTTTGGATCAGTTGTGCGTGGATAAGATTCTCGGATTTTCGCAGATTTAATTTGAACAAGCTAAGCCTATCGTAAGTTACATACTAGTATTAGATAGATTTTGTACAAAATTCAACTAGTAATAGATACTTCCTTTGTTCTTTTTTACTTGACTTGTTTCTTTTATCACGCCTGTCAATGCAAAACTTTAACGATTAATAACTTTAATTCTCCACAAATAAAAATTATAAAAGTTATATATTATAATAGTACTTATTAATACGAATTAAAAAAGATTTCACATGAATATGTTTTTCCTTATATGTTACTCACAAAAAAAGGGTCAAAGGAGGGGCAGTGAATAGTGTAAAAGTCAAAGCGGGTCAAGTAAAAAAGAATGGAGGAAGTATTATACTCGGTTAGTTAATGATATTTAACTATATCTTATCCTATTATCTATAGAATTATACTCCGTATCAAATTTCATCAAAATTCTATCTTCACGTTGCATGCTTGGCCAAAGGTCAACCTCCTACTATAAAAGTGAATTGAAGACAAATTATAGTGGTAAATCTTGATTATCGCAATTATTAATCAATCAACAACATAACTTTCTTTCTCTAAACCTCTTATACTAAGCTATGGAAGAAAAACCTGGAGAATCATTCAATAACCTTCCACCCGGCTACAGATTTGAACCCTATACAAAAGAACTAATTAATCATTATCTCAAACCCAAGATCAATGGCTTTGATTTGCCTATGAATCCCATACATGAAGTTGACAATATCAATGTCTACGGTCCTGAAGATCTCACTGGTACGTACAATTGCACTACTAATACGTTTTTTTTCCCTTGTATGCAAACCGAAAATAACTAAAGTCACAAAAGCATGTAATTTATTTACTCTGTTCTTTGTTGTTTGTGCGTAATTATTAATTTTCCGAATTAATTCATACTTTTTAGACCTTCACAAATTAAAATTTACTGTAAATTACATATTCAATGCGTTTTCTGTGTAGTTGGCTACACCGTATAAGGCGGACTGACACACGGGTAAACCCTGATCGGATAACTTTTGATGACCAACTGAATAACCTTTGACCAAGTATCCCCTGACCAAGTAACACTAGCCACACGAGTGTAGACAACCACATATGAAACTTTGTGTTACGTATTAGTAAATACAATCAGGGTTTATTTTATTTGTCTCAACTCCTTAATTTACTAAGAAACAAAACGTACATAATTCAGCAAATTTTGAATTTAAATTTAAACGGAGTATGATCTAGTTTGTTTGCTGATAATTTTTGAATTTAAGTAATTTGCTCGGATGAGGGTTATAAAAAAATATTAAAAAAATAAATAAAAACCTACTTGTCATAGGCATATATCTTTCTTGTTAGGATATGATATTTTTTTAAGTTTAATTATTAATTTGTTTTTGTAATTTAAACCTTGCAGCCAGATTCATACCACAAGGAAAAGGAAAAAGTAAAAGTTGGTATTTTTTCACATCACGGAATAGAAAATACCATGACGGCAGTCGTCCTGACAAAAAAGCCAGTGATGGATTTTGGAAGGCTACCGGAAAAGACCACCCAATCATAGATGATGATGGTACGTTGATCGGACACCAAAAGTCTTTAGTGTATTTCAAAGGAAAACCTAACAATAACAAAAAGGATAAGAAAGAGAATAATAATGAGAAGACGCACTGGCATATGCTAGAGTTACGAGTCCCTGATCAACCCAAATTAATACCTAAGAGGAAACGAGATCATCAACAAGAAACCAATACTAGTATGAGGGTATGTACGCTTATAATTCTTCCCATCCTTATTATTGTTATTATCGATCATAGTATATTAATAATTTTGTTCCGTTAATTTTCAGTTGCAATGAAGAAATTTTTTATGTATGTTAATTTTTAGTATAACAATAATACCCCTTATATATATTCTAATTTTTTTTTTTTTTTGTGGATGAGATGCAGTTGGATTATGTGCTATGTAGAATCTACTACAATGAAGGAGCCAAAAAAGAAATAAAAGATGTACAAGTTACAGAAGAAAATAAAGAAGTGGTAGAATCTAATGTGGAGGAAAACATCAATAGCCGCGAACAAGAAATTAACAATGAACAACTCTCCAACAGTAGCTCGAACACCTTCTCTGTCACCAACAACAGTTACCATTTTGTAGGTTATGATTACGAGTTGCTTAACCGCAGCAGCCTCATCTGCTACGACAATAATGATGGCTTGGTTAACAACGAACAACAACCTCATCAGCTACGACAATAATGATGGCTTGGTTAACCGCAGCAACCTCATCAGCTACGACAATAATAATGATGGCTTGGTTAACAACAGCAACCTCATCAGCTACGACAATAATATTGATGGCTTGGTTAACAGCAGCAACCTCATCAGCTACGACAATAATGATGATGGCTTGGTTAATAGCAGCAACCTCATCAGCTACGACAATAATGATGGCTTGGTTAACAGCAACAACCTCATCAGCTACGACGATGATGGCTTGAATAACTCCATCTATGGTGATCTTCAAGATCTCGTGCCGGATTTTGATAGTCTATATGACAAGATAATGACCGAAGTATTATTCGATCAAATAGATTTCACAAACTGGGCGTTAGATTTTTTTTAATTATTTATTAGGCTTAGACACTCTTATTAGATTTTTGGTGGTTATAAGTTTTTTTATAGTCTTAGTTTATTTTCAATATTTTTAACTATTTTGTTTTTTGAAAGAGAAAAGCTAATACTACGTATTAATTAGTTAATAGAGTTCATGGCATATAACTTTTTAATAAAGTTCAATTCATGGCATATAGCCTTTTACAATCTGACTAATACTTAGTATTTTACTATTTTTCATCAACAGGTTTTCCGACCAAAAACAAATAGTCCTCTAGAGGGGAATTCCTAATGTAACTTAAGTCGTATTTAACTGCCTTTATAAAATGAATAGTAAGGTTTTTGTTAAAGTAAATGTCTATGCATATATATGATGAGTATAAAGCTAGACCGAATTACTTACATGTTTATTTTTAAAAAGAAAAAAAAAACTTAAAGAGTTTTTACAATTTCAAATACTCCCGAGATAGATAATGTGGAGTACTTGTAAAATAGTAGTGGGTCTTAGTATTAGTTATATGCTTTGTTCTCTTAACTCTAAAAATAATTTTAATTAGTAAATATCTTTAATTATCAATAACTAAAAAATTAAAATAATTGAATATTAATAAATTATTTATTATGACGATTCAAATAAATATTATATCCACAAGACTATATTTATTTTTATTTATAAATCAAAAATATTAAACATAGTATTTTCAGTCTAGGAGAATTAATTTTGAGTTTTGATTGTTTAGTTTTAAAAAAGTGAGTAGAACAAAACGTAACTAAGGGGTATTTGATCTCTAAGATTAACATTTCAGTTTATCTCCTCTCATAACTTTATGCATTGATTTTTGAACCATTTTATTATTTAAAAATAAAAGAAAAACTTATTTTACTTTTATTTTTTTTTAAATAAAAAACATTATATTGTAAGAGAAAATATATTTACAGATTTATCTCGAATATCAACTTAGATTTTCCCGTAAGTAAATAGAAACACAAAAATACACCGTGAGTTAATGACCTAAGCTCTTATTTTCCCGCGCAAACCCAACACTTTCTTCCGGCTGCCGAAACTCCAAAATCTTGTTCCTTGCTACACAGAGCAGTTACACAATCCTCCATTTCCAAACCTTCAATGGATTCTTCCGCCATGGATTTAGACGACGAGCTTGAAGATCATCCTCAGCAGCAACAAGACGACATCGATCCATTCATCAAATTCATCAATTACGCAAGCTCCATTCTCTCTCCTCCACTCAACGATGTCGACGAAGACGAAGAACCTACTTCCGACACTGAGGAAAGAGAAAGAGAAGGTCCTGGTTGGAGTTGGATTGCTTCTCGTGTACTCAAGACTTGCATTTCGTATTCCAGCGGTGTTACCGCCGCCATTCTTCTCTCCGAGCTTTCTCAGGTCAACAACTTGTTTTCAGTTTTAATCTCATTTTCTTCTAATTTGTTGAATTTCAAGTTTATTGTATTCTAGGTTTGATGAATTAATTTATGGTTTCTGCAATTTCAATCATTTCGACATTTTTTTTTTTTTTTTTGTATTCTAGGTTTGATGAATTAGTTTAAGGTGAGCCAATCATTTCGACATTTTTTTAAATTTTGAAATTTCAAGTTTATTGTACTCTAGGGGTTGATGAATTAATCTAAGGTGTCCTGGAATTTTAATCATTTTGATTTTTTTTTAAAAAAAAAAAAAATTCATTTTCTTCTAATTTGTAGAATTTCAAGTTTATTGTAGTCTAGGTTTGATAAATTAATTTGATATGTCCTGCAATTTCAATGGCATTTGTACTTTCGAATTCTATTAATTTGTGGAATTTCATGTTTAGTGCAGTCTAGGTTTGATGAATTAATGTAAGATGTCCTGCAACTTTCAATCAATTCGACTGCATATTTTCTTTGGTTCTATTACGAAATTGATATTAATCTAAGAGGCGCTTTAGATTAAGATAAAATTTTGTTAACATTATTTTATTACAAAATGCTTAAAAAGTTAAAATAAATTAGGTGGCTAAGTGTAAGGAGTGGTTGATTAATTGTAGTTTGTGTATTTGGTTAATTGGAGTTGGCAGGCATGGAATGAACAGAGGAAAACAAGTGCGCCTAGGAAAAGGCCTGATTGCATCAACCAACTGAAGAAGAAACATAAGAGATCTAAGCTGCCGAATACAGTTACAATTGATACAATATATGAGAAGAATTTTTTGTCTCTGAATAGTGTTTTAGAAGCTGTGGTTGTTGATACCTTTGTTCTCCCAGGTTGGTAGTTTTGTTGATTTAGGGTTATTTATGCTGATGATCACAAGTTAGTGATGTTTTGATGATGATATTCCTGCTAAATCTCACCATTATGAATCTTTTATAGTTTATATTTCATGATTAAGTTATAAGAGTTTGCTCAACTTTTTCTTGGTCGAATACTTATTGCTTACCTGCTCACAGTGAGGAATTGATGAATAACTAGTGGGAAATTTCAGCTGTGGATTAGGAAGAACTTGATTGAATGCTTTAGTAAATTATCCTTCTCTTTCTTGTTTATGGGCAGTGGGCAAATGATATGATGCATTAATTAAGAATCCATGGAAACTACCTCTTCGCAAGTTGAGTTTTATTAGAAAGGTTATGCACATTTGACCAACTTGGAGTCCCTTTAGGTGGGAGCTTGAGTTTTGCTGGAGATATTAATAGAATATTTAATAACAGTGAACCAGATAATTCCCAAATTGTGGTAAGAAAGATTTCTTCCCTGATATCTTATCTTTAAGGTTGTCTAATATGCTAGTCCGTGTTTGTCTTGAAGATTTTTGGTTTGCATAAACTCGAGGGAGGTATTGAAGGAGGCAAAAAAGGGAGAATAAATGATATAGCGTGGGCTGTAGAGGACAGACTAAATCTCACATTCTCACTGATCTGCACCTCTACATTGGATCTATGTATAGACCTTGTTATTGAAAGTAGACTAGAAGTGTCAGACGTGACCTTTCTATGAAATTTTGCATGATTTTAGTCCTAAATGAAGTGTTGAAGTGTAATTCCTATGTCCGAGCTTCAATTATTTGACACAGGTACTAGCGGTGAATTGAAGTTGGAGTAACATCGCGTATAAATTTCTACCTGTTTTCAGGGACAAAGATCAACATGATTACTCTGGGTGATTTTTGGAGTTCAAATACTGTTGATCTTTATCTCCACAGAAGGTACAGATCTGTAACATGTTGACTATTAGAAATTTACTATTGCATCATTCTCTCCTACCCAACTGTCTTGTATTATGTATAGTATTCAGTCTTTGAAAAGATGACTTCCACCAGAACTTGTTGACTGTGGATTGAACATATATGAACTTATCTGAATATATTTTTCTTAAACTGAAATTCACCTGTATTCTAAGCCTGAATTGAACTTATGTGGACTTGTTAGCCTTGGACATCAGAAATCATAACAAAACTGAAACTTATTTCTTAAGGTGAAAAGAATAGGTCTTTAATCCCCATGAACCATGCCAAGTACACTGTTGGTGTGTTAAGTTTGATTAAGGTATGAAGAAATGCAGTCTTGCTACATGCTTACTTCATATAGCAAGTCCTTGCCTTTTCTGTCTAATATCACAAGCTATTCACTTCACACCTATTAATCCGTTATTAAATATCCTCTATTATTGACATAAAAGAATAGAATTTGTTACCCTGGTAATGAGTTTAAAACCTTTGGTACAACATATTGCAGGTATTATGATCTAGTATCTCCTCAAAATGGAATTTTAAGAAAAGGAAGGGAAGTGTTTCTCACAGGGTGCTATCTTCGAAGTGCTAATGAAGGTCCTGGCCATCCTCGACTTTTGCCTACAGAATATTTGGTGATTCTGTTGGATGAGGTAATCAATTGAGCTCTGTTGTGATTATTGATTCTCTTGTGATGTTGACATGTTAGAGCTGTGATGACTTTTTTGGCTACTAGAGCTAGATACTGCCTTTTATGAAACAACAAGCATTTTGAGTTTTTGACATAATAATTCCAACTTCCAAGTGCTGAATACATGTCTAGACTGTCTCATACAAATGTTGCATCTTACAAGTTTCTAATTTTCTATTCTCTTAATTAGAGCCTAAAGGCCTGAAACCCAAGAAAATTGTAAAAAAGATGTAATTGCTCTTGGCTCCTGGAGGTGTAGGCTATGCAAATAGATACTGCCATGATTTCTTTGCTAGATATGCCACAGGACCTTCTTGTTGCTTCTCTT